TGTTTTAAAAAAGAACCAAGTGTTTCGTTTTGTGTTAGTAGAGGAAGATTATTAGTTAGTAAAAAATGGTTAAAGCAAGTTATTTCTTTAGCATAGGATAGAGTATTGGAAGCTGAAGAGTAAGAGTGTACTTCTGTAGAATCACTCGTTGTATACCTGGTTTTTACAGTTGTGCAAGAGTCCAAAGCCTGTCCTGTATGTTGGTTCTGGCCGTCATAAAATTGGTCTTCCATGTTTTGTCTTTTGAATTATTTTGATTAACTAATAATATTTTTGCAATATCACAAGATAATCTACAAAAATAGTCAATTACAATAATATCGTAAGTATAAATATACATATTAGATATATAAATTATATTAATTATAAATTGAAATACTGTATATATAATAATATAATATTGTAATTTAATTTCTAAATTGTAATACTATATTTCAATTTACGTTTTACATATCAGATATGTATATTTGTACTTACGATAAGTTCTTATATCTTTTATACTTATATCTTTAATCCTATAAAAAAAAATCAATTTTATAAGTTATATTTACTATCTTTTTTTTTTTGCAATGTAGAATACTGCTCAGGTTCGATTTTTGGTTAACTAACGAAAAGAGAGAAATATAGAATTTTATTTTTTTAAAAAAAGGCATCTTTTTGGGATAATGTTGCATAATAGATAAATAGACAATTTAATACAATATTTACAAGGAACCAATACAATAATAGATTCCTATGTTTGGTTTAAGAATTCAATATATGTAACTTATTTTGGTTAATTATATGCATCAATTTGTCTACTAATATTATTTTATTTTTTGATTTACTAGTTAATAGTGAAATATCACAATAATAAAAGTAGTAAAAACACCTTTTATAGAAGGTTGTATTTTGATGAATTTAAAACATTTTTCAGATTGCAACTAGGTAAGTTTTGTATTCATTTTAAATTTTTTTTTTTTAACTTAAATTATTAAATAGTTGTACAATTTTTTTTTTTTTTTTTTTTTTAAATGATTCAAATAACTATGAGTACAGATTAAACATATTGCATAGATGTTTGAATTAGAAATTACCTCTACTATCTCCAGCTTCTCTACTACCTTCAGCTCCTCTACTAGCTCTAGCTCCTCTACTACCTCTAGCAATTTTATATCTCAACTATCTTCACAAATTTTCACCTTACCAACTTTGGCTTCAGAAATACCAGCTTATTTACAAGAGTCTGTTCCTCCTCCTTCTTATAATGAAGTAATAGAACTAAATCATATTTTAGAATAATCTTTTTTTTTATTATATTTTTTTTTATTGAATTTTATTTTTTTTTTTTAGTATATATTTTCTTATGCTTAATAAAATCTCTTTAAAAAATAACTATCTAGTTTAAGCTTACTAACTGTAAGTAATAATTACAGATATTACAAATTACAATCTAAGTTGCAATCTAATACTCAAAGTTGTAAATATGCTGTAATAGTTATGATTGTAATTGTCATAATCATTATAAATACCATAATAGGTTGTAATTATCATAAAATATAAGTAAATATATTTTGCATATCCTTACAAACATATAATAATTTATCAAATTTAATGATAAATAAGTAGATATAAATGAAAATTGACTCTTATATTTTACTCTAATAATTTATTGAGATATTTTAACTACAGAAAATTAACAACTCAATTAAAATTAAATTGATTGATTAATGTTTTATTATTATATCAAAAAAAATTAGATCTCACAAATAATTGCTATATTTCTATTTTCTCAATTCAAAATCTTTATATAAATAGCTCTTTTTAACTATGTAATATAATATTCTGTATTAATACTAAATAAACAATATTTTACTAATCTAATAATCAGTCCATCTGATCTAACTCTAAATAGTCTTATTCAATTTTAAACTATAGTTTGATTCAGTCTTTTTAAAAAACTACTAGTTTTTAGACCAGACTGAACTGGATAGATCAATTAACAGCTCTAGTCCTAAATATACTTGTTATCTGAAATAAAACCTACTTGAAACTAGTTTTGGGAAGTACTAATCTGAAACTAGTTTTAGATTTTAGAAAAAATTTCCAAAACTATAAAACCCAAAACTCCAAAACTTATAATCCGAAATCTAAAACTATAAAACCTATAATTTTTTTTTTTTTTTTATTGTTTAAGGCGGCTTACATTGCTGATGGGATTTTATTAGTATTTGCATACGGAATTATACATTGATAATCCTTACTGTTTGTAATTATATGAAGAGTATACAACAAGCCACATATACAACTTTAGTCATTGTCTAATTTAAGTAGTCTG